TGGCATTGTACATAAAATTCCCTATTTATAAGCTTACACATATATTTGGATAAATTTCAACATTTTTAGTGGGTTTTTTGATAAAGTTTGAAAAGGAGTATTTTTAAAAAGAGGTATATGAAAAGGGGTATTTTTGAAATTCCCCCTAAATTAAATGCATATATTATATAAAAGATGTTTTAAGTAAAAACATGCATACTAAGAAATTGTTTTTTTTCTGTAAAAATATTTATATTTTGTGAAAAAAACAAATTTCAGTCAATTATAAAAATGATTACAAGTTATCAAATATTATATTTGAAAATTTGCGAGTTTATAATTTAGTAAATTTGGTATAATTTTGAATGGCTCTGTGTTTTGTAGCCAATGATATTTGTTCCCATTTTTTTTTGAATAGTCACTCTCTACTGTAAATAAATTTCACTTGTAAAGCAAACTAAGCATAATATGACTTTGTGTAATATTAATTTTTTCTTGAGTAAACAAACTAGCTAGGGGTCCATTTTTGTATTTTTAATTTTAGTTTTGTTGATGACTTAAAGTAAAATCTGTTTGCAATTTGCGAGAAACAAAAGGGGAAAAAGAAGGTAAGAGGTTATCATCGTGAGGAAGAACAAAACTTTAAAGACTGGTTTTGATCAGTTCCCAACTTGCTAATTTCTTCTAATTCATTATACTTGGATAGCTTGGATTAGAAGAAAACTATTGCTTTGTACTCTTAACAATCATATGAGGAAAATTGTTTGGATGATGATTGGTAGGACAAAGTGTCTTATGTTATTGATTTTATAAGTCATATGATATGATTAAATTTTGTGATATTGGTAAATCATTTCTTCACTTAACGTACGAGATGTGGGCTCTATGATTAAGAGGATGAAGTTTGAGATATACAAAAATGAAGGACGTCAAGAGTTTGTATATAGCTTCTTCTATAATGATATTTATGATATCTTGGGGTTCATCGTTCTTTCTTCTAAACACTAGATTTCGATCCCATGTTTGTGTTATTTGTCATTCTAGTCTTCTTTCTAAACCAAAATTTTTTCTCAACATTAATAAATTGTGTGTGTGTGATGATGTGTTGTGATCATTTAGGTCCTGAATGTTTTGTAGTTTTTAATTGGATTTTAGCTTTTAGTTTTTGATTTTTGGCTTTTGGTTTTTTTTCTTTTTGATTTTTGCTGTAAATTTTAGTTTTTGCAAAATCTTTAAACAATAAAAAAAAATATTAATAAGAAAATTCACGTAATATTTGTTAGAGAACCATAAAAGTGAAGAAATTAATAAAGGCCATGAATGGAATGAGATTTTAAACTGGATTTTAGCTTGAGAATTTGTTAGAAATACCATTTTTGGGTTACCTCTTTCTAAAAATACCCCTCTTTTTAGCCATTTTTAATTATACCCTCCTAAAAAATTTAAAAACAACTTTACCCTCCTTTATTAAAAACCTAAAACACGCTTCTCTCTTTTCTCCTCCTCCTTCTCCATCGTCGACCTCCTTCTCCGACGTTTCTCACTCGCCGTCGTGTTTCTCTTCTCTCCTTTGTCGTCATCTCTAGTCTTCTTCGTCGTCTTTCCTTTGCAATCATCTCTTCTCTTCTCTCCTTTGCAGTCGTCTCTTCTCTTCTCTCCTTTGCCGTAGATCTTTGTCTCAGTTCTCTCTACACTTAATCATCTCATTCCCATCGTATAAGATTGCTATTGAATTTTAATTTCGACTTCAAATTCAGCTCCAACTGCAATTTTTCCTTATCTCTATTTATTTTCAATTTCATATTTGTTCTTTGATGTCAGAATTTTTAGGTCTATCAATATTGTGATCTGTTTGTGATATGTTTGTGTTCTGTTTGTGATTTGTTTGTGATCTGTTTGTGTATATTAAGTACCTTTATAATGTTGAATTTGGTTCAAATGCAAAGATACGTTCAGATATTATGTTGAATTTGGTTTGGGCAAGTTATAGTTTTCCAATTTCTTGTACTAGATTACCTTTGATGATGTTGGAACCTATTGGTGTGCTTTGTTTCGTGCTATGATGCTTGAAGCTTGGGTTTTGTTAATATTTTAGTTCTAAGAAGCTAGATTGTTTCTTTAATTGTAAACCCAACGTAGGTGGACATGTAAATAGATTGTTTTTTCTATCGTACCCTGTTGTACCCTATTGTGGCTTGAAATGATCAGAGAAGAGACCATGTTACTAACAAAAATCTTCTAATCAAGATTGAACATTGTTCATAAAACTCGGAATGTAAAGATCTATGCAAATGACGTATTCTTTGTGTGTGTGTGTGTTTCAGGTGCTCTCATTTGATGAACAGATGCAGGCATTGAGCTGAAGTGCTAAGAATTGGAACCTCTAGTGGAGAAAGTGACCGAAGTTGACTGGTTGCAAAAGCCTCTTCTTAGGAGACTTTGTTTGTTTGTTTTGTGTTGATGTTGATAGGGTGGGATTGACTGGTTGCAAAAGCATGTTCTTAGGAGTCTTTGTTTGATTGTTTTGTGTTGATGTTAGTGGCTGTGATCTTGCCGATGCTACAATTTTGTTGGAACAATGTTCTTGAGTAGATGACGTTTAAGATAACTAAATGCACTTCACCTGAATGGGAACCTCCACGCTCTTGATAAAACTGTTGAGACGTCCAATTTCGAATCTACAGCAGCTTGCCTTTTGTTCTTCCATCGATCAATGTTGGATTCATTTGTGAAAATGACCTGTTGAACATTTAAACTCAACAACTCTATATAAGAAAGACTATGGAGTAACATAGACTTAGAAGGAATACTATCTGAAAATAAGATACCAGCTTATAATTGTGCAAAAGAACTTGGTTCTACTAGATGACGTAGTTATAAGCTTCTAAAACCTTAATATACATTTACAAACCTTTTAAATATTTTGTAAAACCTTTTAAATACTTTTTAAAAACCTTATAAAAACCTTATAAAAACTTTATAAAAACCTTTTAAATACATTTTAAAACCTTATAACCCTTAAATAGTTTTTAAAACCTTTTAAACCTTACAAAATCTTTTAAATACTATGCAAAAAATACTTTTCAAAAACTTTTTAAAACCCTTATAAAACCCTTGTAAAATATTTATAAAAGCTTTGTAAGACCTTATGAATTTATCAATCATTGTATAAACTATAAACCCTTTTAAATACTTTTAGTCTTAAAAATTTAAGGTTTAAGAGGTCTATAAAGATTTTATATGGAATTTAAAAGGTTATAAACTGATTTTAAAACTTTTGAAAATGTTTTGTAAGGTTTTCATAAATAAAGCTTTTATAAGGTTTTTATAAGATTTTTAAAAAGTTTAAATACAAATTGGTTATTAGTGTCTGAATATTTTTCTTCTTTTGGGTAGGATTGATGCTTTTTTGAAGAGTGATCAAAGCCGAAGTACTAGTAGACCTCTCACAGCCTATAATGAAGGTGACATTGAAGAAATCAAGAAGGTGGCGAGCTCAAGTACTGTCTCGAATTTGGATCATTAGGCTTCTTGTATACTTGGATAAAATATGTAGGGAGAAGGTTGCTATTATTCTATCGGTCATTGTAATAGTTTCAAGTTATTTCTCGGAGAGGTGATAAATCTCATTATGTTTACAAAATAAGGACAAAAGAAGCAGTAGCACGTGAGGAATGAGAAGTGAACACTTGTGTATTCTTCTTTTTTCAGTTCTCTTGCAGTACATGAAAGATGAAAACACAAATGAGATAAAACGTTGTGTCACTGACTTTTCATTTGTATCTTCTTGACCCAAATTTATGGCTTGTATTTAAACAATTAAACCTTACACAGGTCGTTACGTTGGTGTGTCTTGACTACGTAATCTCAACATAATTTAGGACAAGGCAAGACTAAGACTCATGAAAAATCTTTTGTTTCGATTCCCTTCCATTTGATGATCGGTGGTTCAAATGTCAGTTTCTATTTTATGTCTATTTTAAAAGGGTTAACAAATATTTTAAGGAAAAGGTTTGATAATCCTTATAATAACTTTTTAGAGGGTTTTAAAAATATTTTACAAGGTTTAAGAGATTTTAAAACCTTTAAGAAACTTTTTAAATACCTTGTAAAATCTTTAGAACATTTTTATAAAGATTTTAATCTTTAAAACCGTATAAAATCTTTATAAAAGCCTTATAAAACTTATTAAATAGTTTTAAAACCTTAATGTATATTTAAACACCTTATAAAACCGTGAAAACATTTTAAATACTTTTTAAAACCTTATAAAAATCTAATAAAAGCTTTATAAAACCTTTAAAAGCCTTGTAAAAACTTTTTAATAGTTTTGAAAAACCTTATAAAATCCTTATAAAAACCTTATAAAAATCTTATAAAAACTATATAAAATATTTTTTAAAACATACCATTTTAAACCTTAATGTATATTTAAACACCTTATAAAACCGTGTAAAACCTTTTAAATACTTTGTAAAACCTTTTAAATACTTTTTAAAACCTTTAAAAAATCTAATAAAAGCTTTATAGAATCTTTAAAAGCCTTGCAAAACTTTTTAAATAGTTTTGAAAAACCTTATAAAAATCTTATAAAAACCTTATAAAAATCTTATAAAAACCTTATAAAAACCTTATAAAAACTATATAAAATCTTTATAAAAGCCTTATAAACCTTATAAAAGTCTTGTAAAAAAAATTAAATTGTTTTTGAAAGTTTATACTTAAACACCTTAAAAACCTTTTAAATACTTTTCAAAACCTTATTAAATCCTTGTAAAAACTTTTAAATAGTTTTTCAAAACCTTTTAAAACTCTTATAAAAAACATTTAAAAAGCTTATAAAGTGTTTTAAAAACTTTTTAAAAAACGTGTAAAATATCTTCCTAAAAGCTTGTATACTCCTTCCTTTGGTATATAATTTCCTGCCCTGCAATTAAAATTCTAAAAGACAAACTCTAGAGTTTAAAACAACAAAAACACAATCTCTTTCTACGTACAAGAGTCAAAAAAAAAAAAAAAAAAAAAAAAGCTTGTCGTGCCATTATATATGCAAAGATGTGACAATTATGTTTACAACTCTCAAGATATAGAAAGTCTCTTAACCTATAATCATATCTCAATTGCTGATCAGCCATCAATCTATTGTTTCAAATTCAGTTGCAGATTTACGAAAAGCTTTAAAGAAGAAGCTACATCGTAAAGTGCAGCAGAAGAATCTGAGAGAGTATGAGTCACTGCAATAAAGTCACAACATTTACAAGTCAAAGTCTCTTGGAGTGAAAGAGATTTTCAACATTGTGCATCTCTCCTCCATTGGCTATAGTCTCATGTGTTCCAACATCAAACTGAGATTCACCTGTCACCATAAATTTACATCTTCTCTGCAGAAAAAAAAAAAAATCCAAATTGAGAAATTGATGCCTAAGTGCCATTTAACACAACACCAAAAAACAAATGCACGAAGGAAAATAAACGAGTAGCTCAAAGCAAATCAATTTGTCATTTTTCAAGAGCTATAAACATTACAACTAATAAAATCATGAGACCAATTACTCGTAACAGATTTCAGATCTTCAGATCAATAACTCGATTCAGATTTCATCACTCTTAGACTTGGTGATGCAAAGAAACTTGATGCAAAGTTAACGAATTGAGCTACAAACCTGTTATGTTTGAGACTGGTATTAGCGAGTCCAGAAGCAAAGGCCATGACAGCTCCGAGAGAGAAGAGAGAGGAGAAAGGTGTTGTCTTTAATGGAAGCAAAGAGAGGGACTTGAAGAAAGCTAGAAGAATCCAAGCGACTATAGTGGATCAGTGTTAGAAAAATTGGAAAATTGAATCCAACTCTTCCCATCACCTGCAAAATGCAACCATACAATTAAATTACATGAACAAACAAAAGAAAAATAAAACTAAAAATGAAGAAGAAGAAGAATTTAGGATATAAAACGAGATGAAATTACTAGTTTATTGGCGAGGATGATTCCAACATCAACAATGAAATTGAAGGACATAGCAACAACAGGGCCACAAAATCTCTGTTGTTGCCGTTTAGCTTCTTCTGATGTTTTAAGCTCATTGTATAAAGAACTTCTGAGTTCCTCCAAAGCTCTTCCTGCAAATCGAAAGAAACGTAAAGGTGATTCATTTCATCAAACCAGCTGGTGATGAACATTAAATTCCACAAACCATTAACAATCCGAACAAAACCGATGAAGAACAGTGGCAATGTGGGAAGTCATAGTATGATCTTAGTAAAACCATAGGCAGATCTCTCACGTCGCCGTCGCGAGAGAGATGAGTCGCCGTCGAGATAGAGATGAGTCGGAGTCGGAGTCGGAGTCACCGTCACCGTCAGAGTCAGAGTTGCCGCCGCCATCGGAGTTGTAGTCGGAATCGGAGTCGGAGTCGAGAGAGATGAGGCGGTTTTCGGCGTCAGATGGGTGAAGAGAGATTTTTAGGTTAAAACAAATGAGGGCAGAATCGTCTTTTTGAATCAAAACAGGGGTAATTTTAAAAATGCTCCTCCAACTGGGGTATTTTTAAAAATGTGATCCTTAAAAGGGGTAGTTTTAAAATTGTCCCTTTTAGCTTTTAGTTTTTAATTTCTAAATAATTGGTTTATGGTTTGTTAAAAAAAAGTTTAAAAAAAATAACAAAAAATAAAATTAAAAAATGAAAGAAAATACACTTACATTGAAAGAAACCAATAAAAAGGGTTTTTAGTTTTTATTTGAAAATGAGTAAAATCTCAAAAAAGTAGATTCTCATTTTTTGAGGAAAACCAAATTTATAAAATCTTGAATGGCAACAAATTAGATTTTTAGAAAAACTAAAACCAAAATCTACCTAAAAACTAGCAAACATTCAAGGCTAAAATCTCTCAAAATCAGATTTTCCTAAATTTTAGGGACTCTACTTTTGCTAAAATGGCTAATTTATTTTGGTTTTTTTGGCCTTAGCATATTTTTGCTTTTGTGCTAAATTTACATATATGTACTATATTTTAAATTATGGTATATCGCTGGCAAATTTTTATTTTTAAATTTAAAATTTTCTGTTATGCTGCAATTTTTTTAAAAGTTATTAAAATTACCTAATATCTAACTTAATTAAATCACTATGATTCGACATATCTTATATTGGTGCTGCTAGAAAATATTATAATGAAGTTTTAGCTCGCTTTGAAGTATAAGGTCAAGCTTGTTCCTTCATACAATCCGTCACGCAACCCATCATATAACCCGTATATAAATATTATTTCTAAAACAAAAAAAATTGTAATAATTGCTTCTATATGTATTTTGCATAACAACTTATAATTAATTTCAAATCAAAAGTATATCTCATTCAATAAGACCGATGTGTGAGGAGAGACATTGCACTTAAAAAATTTAAATATTAAAATATTTTGAAACTTTTGAAATTTTTTAATTTGCTCAAATATAAACCAGATTAAACCGAATAAAGTTTTTCAATTTGGACGCTTGAGAAATCAAGTTGTCTGTTCATTCGTAGTTGAAAGTATATTAGTCATATTTATAGTGGTTCCGAACAATTATCTAAAATTTTCTATTGGTTATGGGATGTTGTACATACATTTTTAAAAAAAACTTTTGATTACGTAATATATGTCTGTTTAAAAAAACTCAAATTACAACATATGGGGGAAAAATACATTTTATTATATATATGTTTAATGTAATAAAATAAATTAAAAAATAAAATAAAATACCGTATAAAGATGAAAGGAGAGAAGGAAATTAGAAATTGTAAATGATATTGAATATTTATTGTTGTAAGAAAAGGTAATATAATGTTTTTCATTAATTATTTTACTAAGTACTCACTTTATTCCAAATTATAAGAGGTTTAAGCTAAAAGCACAAAAATTAATAAAAATTTAAAACAATAAATATCATTTAATAATTAACTAAAAATAAAATTCAACTAATCATAAAAAAGACTACAGAATTTAAAGAGTCAAAATACCAAAACAACATTAAATCCTATCTAGAAATTTGTAAAAAAATCTTATGAAATGATTCAAAAAAAATTTCCTTAAACCTCTTATAATTTGGAAGAGTATTAAATAGCATTGATGTAATAAATTTGGCTTATAGTATTTCTAAAAATCTAAAAAGAATCTTTCCAAAAAGTGATATCTACCAAAATATAACATTACCATAACGCCTATAAATGGCGTTTTGCAGAAATACATCTTCATCTCATCATCAAGCTTATCTTTTTTTTTTGGTGAAGTGATATTTTCTCCCTAGTTTAAAAAAAAAAAAAATGGCTAATGGGAAAAACAAGAACATGGTGTTACTTGTCACAACAGTTGCTTGCTTATTACTCAGCTCACAATTAGTTATGTCTTATCCTGCTTTTTTTCATGTCTCATGGGGTCTTGGTGTATCACTCAGCATAACCTTTAAGGCCGGTGATTATCTTGGTTAGTCTCTCTATTTATAAATGAATACTCACATCCATTTTTTTTTTCTCTAAATTATAAGAATTTTTATACATATATTTGAAAGTTTTGTTTCTTTTGGTTAAACAGTATTCACGTACGATAAGACAAAGGATAACGTGATCATGACTACTAAAAGAAGATTTGATACGTGCAATGTATTAGATACTTCACCAGAATCTAAAGGAGAATACAATGTATTAGATGTTTCACCAGCATATACAGGAGGATACGGTATAATCTCGCTCCCATTGGGCACAACTTATTTCATCTCTACTATGCCTGGACGATGTGCTCTTGGAGTGAAGCTAGCCATCAGGGCTATTTAATCATTTTAATATCTTACACCCCTTAAGGAGGAACAATTATAAATGTATTAAGTATGACATCAAATTTCCGAATAAATAAAAAGAAAATTAAACAAAAAATTTGATTTGATTATGATATATATATGGTATTTTGTGGAATAGTTACGAAATTGTGGTGCGGTTTTAATAGTATCGAAATATAGATATATTGTTATACGCGTGTTTTTGTAACTATTAGAATCGCATCGTACTTTGAGATTTCCGCGTTCATTCAAAGTAATTATATATGTTGTTTTTGTTGTTGTTAGTATATGAATAAGATTTAATTAAGAGAAACTAAATATAAATCTAATGACAAAAGCGATTATGTTACACTAACTAACCATATAATCTTGTGGCTATGATAATCTAATGTCTAAAGTGTAAAACCGACCAAACTCCCATCATTCACACGACTTTAATGCTCTCTCTCCTTCGCTAAAGTATCTACCAAACACACGGACTCCTAATGAAGATAGAATGTGAGAAAACTCGTATGGATTGTGTAGAAAACATAGCTAGTGATTTTAAGTGATTCGATATTAGAGAAATATTTTCAAGTCATTTTGCAAATGTTTATGGTTGTATCTTGAATTCTTGATATCAAAGTATATGTTAAAACACTTGATTGATATGTTACAATTTAAGGAGTCAGCAACTTGTTTTTCTTTGTTCTTTTGTCTTCTAGTATTACGGTGGTTACAACGCCACATTCACCACCCCTACAAATGTCAAGCTGGAAATGACATTTTGAGAAAGCCACTTGGCTATCACCTCTTGTCAAATGTCAACAAAATATCAAAAAACTTCAATGAAGTTGTCGGACAAAAATGTAGGCCTTAAGGCCACAACAATGCTATATAGGCTAGTAAGAAGTCCACAAACACATTAGTAACTGTTGATGGCCTACCAATATTAATCACTTTTTTTACTCTATGTAAATATGTGTATTGCTATGCTATAACCAAATTAAATTTGCAAGAGCTGTGACAGGCTCATATGTATTAGATTGAAAGCTGTAGATACAGAGAGATTGATGTAGTTTCATTAGAAATAAAGTATTTTCATTGGATTTAGACACCAAAATAGATTAACAAAAGAAAGACCAAACTACTACATATATTTTTTACTCTCTTGAGGACTCTCTCATGGTTAACAAACTCACTCATGGATGGTCCGGAAGGGCTTGTATGTCTTGACACTACTTATCAGTCCTGCGATGGATCCAGCCGCAGCTAAGAGTGAGACGATCAAGCAAACATAGCACATCATTTTTAGAGCGATCCATCTAGCAGAGTACTTCTTGATCTTGGTCTGTGCAATGTGCATCTCCACAGGGAAATAAACTGTTAAAGGCCAGAAGGAAGCTGCTCCGATAAGACCCAAAATCGCGTTGAAGAAAGGGAAGATCATAGCTACCACAGTGGTTAAAACCACATAAGCTGTCCTCCACACCAGTCTAAAGAAGCTGATGTTGAATTTTCCAAGTAATGGTACGTTTACTGAATATTCAGCATTGATGAACTTGTTGTCCGGATAGTTTTTTTTGCATTTTTTCTCAACAAACTGGAAGATGGGCTGCGCGAACACCTGAAAATGTTACGGTTCGGTTTTGTTAGCTAACCGATAGAAAGCGGTAATGAAAGCCTGATCTAGTCTTTTTTTTTTGGTTTTTGGTTACCTGATAGGCACCAATAAGGTGGGCAGCAATGCAAGCGTTTGCAAAGTCAATGAGCCAATAGGGCTCAAAAAATCCGAAATCCGTGAGGAAATCTCCAGGGGCATTGTTTCCAAATGCAGCATAGCCGAGGCATCCACATAAGATGTAGAAAAATGTGGTTGTTGATACTCCCACAAGACTTGCTCTTTTCATGGCTTTGTTCTCAGCTGGGCTAGATCTTAGTGTATCCTACAAAAAGCAAAAAAAACTTTCACAGTTTAGTGATACAATAATCCAATTTTACTTTTGGTTAACAAAGAGGTTTTGCGCCTAGGTCCATAACTAAGTTAGTCCCTTCCCCTTTGGCCATCTCCGGGAACTTGGGGACCTTCCCAGCTGATTCATACACATTAATCCAAATTTTCTCCACAAGAAACATATGATCTATGGACTATGATACGTTCTTAAACTATGAAAGCTACGATCATTAAGTGACAAAAATTATGAGTTGTAGTGTCAACTCAATAAGCTAACTCTGTTGATAAGAATATCATATATCATTGTTTGTTGTGGAGAAGAGATTGACAATATCTTTGAGTGTGACTCTTTGTCCTTAATAAGCACATGTTTACCTTTAAGCTAAAAGACATATTCTTTACTTTTTGACTCTTTTGGGTAAAGCAAAAAAAAAAAAAAGTGGTCCATAGGGAATCGATTGTCATTGTCAATAATCTCTAACCACAATTCAATAAGAGGTTCATATGTGAAGATAATAAGTCTCTAATTAATGAAATTGATGGAGATAACTTGCCTGAATCTCGATGAGAACAGTCGCGTAAGCATAGGCGAACGCGATGTCCCCAACCGCTTGGAACGATCTCCATATCTTCTGAGCTGCGGTTACATCAACTCCAACCGCTGTACCCGTCATACTCGTCTTACCCACTTTCCCACCTTTTCATATCGTAACATATATATATATATCAACCGTTAGTTTTGTAATAGTTCTTTATGACTCTTGACAGTAGATATATGGGTAGTGTGCAACCAAATCATGTGCAGATTGTTACAGCTATTGATACAACTTACTTTAAAAAAAAAACAATATGATAACTAAAACTATTAAATATTATATGTACCTGCGACGGTCGCAATGGCTAGACCAATTCCAATAGTTGCATAAGTGAAGGACATGACCGCAGCCATAATGGAAAGAAAAGAGAGCTTGTGAAAATTTGGGATCTGGCTAAGAATAACCTGAATGATCCCAAAGGCCGCCATATACGGATAATTCGATGCTGCGCAATCCGCATCGTGCCCTTTATCGTGGAAACAGTTCGCTTTCCCGACGGCTCTGTTTAAACAAGATATGAACCACATCAATATATTTTTTACTGCCTTTATGAATCTTGTCACACATAAAAACTTTAAATTCACATTGTGTAGTTGACTTACACCAAACTAATAGAAGCAGTGATGGTGTAACCAACAGTAATCCCAATCAGATTTCCATACTGTGCCACTCCACAGAGCTGCACTTTCCTACCACCTGTCATATTACAATAATTGCAAGAAATATTATTTTCCGAGTCTATTTTTTAATTTATTTATTACTTCTGTTTTATCTAACCTATTAATTAAATTTTTTTATGTTTCATAAAACAAACAACAAAACAGTCCACGGAACTATGTATAATATAAAACTACTCTATCAACATCCAAAACACCAACAATAATGCTAATACTACAAAAAAGACTCATTGCCTCATATGTCAAAATATTCTTTAATAATGTTATAAACAGTCCAAAATCTTAATTAGTAAATATACAATTTTGACAACCAAGCTAAAATATATTATTGATTGAATAAGATAAGTTTCTGCCAAATTAATTACTTCAACAACCATATAGCTTATAATTAGCAATTAAAATGGACGGTTACCAAAGTTTTAAATTCAGTCAAAATTCAAAAAACTTATATATTTCAAAAAGCAAATACAGTATATATAGCAATTTGTGGCAATAACTATAGTCCACACTTTTTAATGAGTTCAATTATTATCCACAGTTTTTTTTTCCTTGAAACCCAAAATTGCAGAGATTTAAAATATAACTGAGAAAAATCCCAAACTTCATTTACTACAAGAGGCACAAATCTCGAATTTCAATTGAACCAGACAGAACAATTTTTAATGATCAAAATAAAAACTCAGAAAAGGTATTGTTCCATAGATAAACCTTGTGAAAGTAATAACCAAGAATCATGAATTCAAGATTCGTTTCAATTTTTTTTTTTAATTATTGATTAAGCTAATAAACCTTCAAATTGATGCAAAACTAGTACTGTCGCTTTTGATCGACATCAGTATTTAAGAAAATGTTTAATTTTGCTTTTCGAAACTAAAATAATTCTTCCGACAAACGTCATCCTAAACTAAAATACTACACAAAGTACACAGTATCTAATCAAACAGAACCCATACCTTAAGAAAATAAACCTTTTCACAAAAATGAACATTTCCTAAAGAACCCTTTTCTGACAATTAAGAAAAAAGTGTAAAAGTGTGGATTTATAAGTAAAAAATCAAACTACAAGAAAACAAAAGATATAGAATCTTTCATGTCATGGTAATAAATTTACTGTTTTGTAAAAAAAAAAAATACAAACAAATTACAAGAATCCAAAAGACATAGAATCTTTTAAGTCATGGTAATAAATTTGGTGCAAGAAAGTCAAATTTCTTTTCTTTGTCAAAAAGTTTCTGTGTTTCACTTTCTGATATATGAAAAAACTGTCAAAATTTTCATATTTTGATATTAAAAAAATATATACAAGTTGGTGAAAAAAGTGAGATTTTTTTTTCATTTGTCCAATTTACCTAACAAGTAAAACTAAAAATTGAGTGAAAAAAAAAATAAAGAGAGAAACAATATTAAAGTTGGTGAAAATTTTGAGATTTTGTCTATTTTTAACATTTACTTTTTACAAGTAAAATTAACTATAGAGTTAAAAAAAAAAAAAAACAAGAAGAGAAAAGAAGCATACCGAGGTAAGCTCGAACAACTTCCATGTAAGTGTAATTCCTTTTACCGGTGACAGGATCCGGAGCACGGTAACAATCAGCAAGCATGGTCGAAGTGAAATAAGTGATGAACGAGAAGATAAGCAAAATCGTAGTCCCTGCGATCCAACCAAGCTGAGCTATTGCCCATGCCAAAGACAACACTCCTGACCCTATAACCGCTGTAATAATATGAGCACTAGCCGTAAGCCAAGTCCCCGTACGCTTCTCCCGACCGTCTTCATCGACGTTCTTTGTCGGGTCAGAGATGTTGTAACCATCGCCGGACTCCGCCGTGGAGTGGTTGCGTTCTTGATCTGTGTTGAAACTCTTCATAGTGAAAGAGAGAGAGAGAGACAAAGAGAGAGATGAGATGAGAAGAAGATAAAATAAATGTTTTGAGTGAGAGAGAGAGATGAGAGATGAGAGATGAGAGGATGAGTAAATGAAGAAGTCTAAGTATAGTCAACAGATTTGTGTGTTACATAATAACATTTATATAGACTTAATTGTATATGTATTATATAATGAAGTGTTTTTTTTTTTATATAGCATATATGCCAACGAGACGTATACGTAAAATACGTGTTCGATTTTCAACTTTTATGATATATTTTTTTGTTTTTTTTTGTGTATATATAAAATGTTTTAAATGATTTTTATTTAATATGGTGTTTTGGCTTGGGATGTGTAAAAATTGCTTTTGGACTAGACTTAGTAGTGACCACCTATGGGGGGACGATTTTAATATTCAGATTCTGTAATAATTGTTCTTTTTTCTCAATGTTAATTTTAGTGAATTAAAAAAAAGGTTTTTTATATTTTAGTTTAATAATAATAAGAGAATACTATATATTTTGATGATATAAAAAAAATCTACAAATATTATATTCTTTTTTTTTTTAAACTACAAAGATTTACTTCTAAGAACTTGTATATATATACTAATATATGATTTTCTGAATAAAAGTGATTTTGTCTTTTCCCATGTACATTATAATTTTCTTAAATTTTTAATTTCTAAACATATCTTAATAAACTAATTATACTGAAATAAAATTAAATTAAATTATAATTTTGTATAAATAAAAGCAGATTTTATCATTTAAACCATTTTTTTAATTTAGAAAAATGAGATATTTATATTTTAGGCACTAGATGCCACGGATGTTTGGGGTTCCATTTTTCTGATCAATGGAGCCAAAATAAAAATTTCTTAAAATCCGATGAATTCCAAACTTGGAGACATGAAAGCTCTATGGACGATTGAAGATGACAAATAAAAGTGAACCACCAACATAAATCATATATATGTATCCATATAGATTAGTTAACACTTTAATTTGATGTAATATAATTTCTTAATGAGGTACTCCTCTTTATGTTATTTGCTTTTGGATATCGAAGTTGCCACACTCATCATTGAGACATATATAGATCAAAATCAAAACATTTTAAAGAATATGTTTTCTTGTCAAGCCTAATCTTTGTATCTAGTTTTTACTTCACATATTAATAAAAGTTAGATATTTAAAAAGAAAAGAAAAAGGTAAAAAATCGATTGGATATTGAAACTATAATTAGGCCAAGACGGTTCAATAATCTTGATACCAAGTTTCATAAATCCATATCTGATGAAAATATGAATGGATTCATAGTTTATTTTGAAATTCCCATAATCATGTGCATAAAAGAATATTAATATAAATCATTCTAGAACTCTCTTTTTCTTTCATAACCTACTTTCTCATATAGTTAGGATTTAGTTTTGTATAAGTCTAGTAGGTCGAAAAGTTTGACATACACTTATAACTATATTTTTTTTCAACTAATGAAAATTTATCTTTAGAGCTAACAGATCTTTAATATATTCTTTTAGAGAGTGAAAAAAGTAATATGAATAATGCATTAAGTAGACAGTAGTTCATTTAATCAAAATATCAACCAATAAAAAATCTTAATGAAATTTCTTAGATAAACTATAAGCAAAAAAATCGAACCAACAATACACTATAGAAATAAACTCGAACCAACAATATACTATGGAACCAATAATACATTATGGAAACAAAAATTTGAATTAACAATACATAATAAAAATCAATTTATGTTTCTATAGTGTATTGTTGATTTGGATTTGTTTCCATAGAGTTATTTCTTGATCTTCAAATCTTGTGTTTTAAGTATTCTAACCAAAAATAAAATAAAACAAAACTTTTGAACTTGATGAAGAGTAAAAGTGTGTTGACCAAAAAAAAAAAACGGATGATAATAAAAGTGTAAACTTATGTGATGGCTATTTCCCTAAAAGATTACTTTATTAAAGGTTACTCATGCAACCACATATCAGGTCAAATATTGTAAATACACTTTGCCAGTAAAAATGTTTGACCGTTACATATTTATTATTTGTTTTCATGTTGCTTCTTTAGACACAAATGTTGATTGTAAAAAAAAGTAATACAAATTCTTTTTTCGAATTTCATCTCGATTAATTAGCAATCAATATAGTAGTTCAGTCTAACTAGTTTTTTCTTATATATATATATATATATATATATATAAACAAATAATTTCTCTAAATATCTTCCAAAATTTATTATTTAAAGAGAAACATTGTACTAAAACTTTAATAAAGAAGCCAATTGTGAGTTAACACAGTAGGAAGCTATAGTTAGAATCATTTAAATTGAAAAGAAGAAGATAATTTTTTTTAAAAAACAAATGATTATATCTAAATATCTCCCAATAAAAAAAACTTATCAAAGAGAAACATTGTACTAAAACTTTAGCAAACAAGCCAATTGTGAGTAAACGAATTAGGAAACCAATAATAAAAATCAATTAAATTAATAAGAAGAAAAAAAAGTACTAAGTTGAAATTTCATCTCTATAAATTAGCTAATCAATAATAGTTCGGTTTAAGTTTAACTAGGTCTTTCAATTACAACAAAAACAAAAAAAAATTATCTAAAATATCTGCCAAACAAACAAACAAAAACTTATTTAAAGGAAAACATTGTACTAAAACTTTAATAAAGAAGTCTATTGTGAGTAAACAAATTAAGAAACCAATAATTAGAACCATTTATAGTTTTCTCATTTTTTCACCTACCTCTAACCCGTTTGAAGAGACAAGTTGTTTCGATTCTTCAGTGAAACTATTTTTCAACGAATGAACAAATAAAAACCATTGAAATAGTAATTAACAAATGGCTGAAACAGTTTTGTTGGTCAAAGGCTGATTTAATTAGTTTTATAATGATTAACAAAAGACTTATATTATGTGAAAGCTTGACTTCTTTTGTCTACCGTTACGTATTAGGTATACTCACACATAATCACATGTTTTTGTCTTTTTAATTTCTTTAATAATTTCAAGATTTTTTAAAAAGAAAACTTTAAATGTCATTTACTGAATCTTTCAAACAAATGGCATGGAGAGACAGGTGCCTTCTGTAACGTCTCAGAATTTTGAGGTACTTTGCCTAAAAAATCAAAACTTGTGATGGTGAATCTTCACTTAACGCATGATAGTGAACACCAAAAAGCTGTTTTAGTTACATGCAAGATAATTAAGGCTAATTAATTTAATATAATTTGGATTATTTTATTTATAAAAAGTAATGGTCCAAGAAGAATGTTTTTTTTTTATATGATCTCTCTTGGACTCTTACGAGTTGCCTCGTATTTAAAAAGTCTTTGTGTTTGAAAAATTGTTCTGAAAGAAACACTTATACTAATATGTGTATGTTGACAATGTACACGGATGAGAGAACTAGCTGCTGTGAAGTATCCTCAATTGTAGTTTTTTATAGTTTTGTCTAAAAGAGTTTTAAAAAATGTGAATGATAAAGATTTTGGAAGCAAAGTGGAAAGTTCAACTTCAAAAAGAAGAGCTAATAAATCTGAAAATTTCATTGACTGGTTTTGATGTGATGTTCTTTTTTCTTAAATATGAATTCAGGTCACGGATTGAAAATTCTAAGCCATTGTGCAATCACACTATAAACCATCATAACTAGTTAGAACACCATACCTTATATATATATTCAATGATTTGTAACATTATAGTTTAAATTTCATCTAGCTATCCATCTTCATTTTGAAGAACTTGTTTAAACACTTGGTTTTGAAACCATATCAAGCTTTATGGGTTGGCATGGTCATGTTAGTTGTTCAAATCAAAGGAAGACAATAATTATTCCTAAAAAGCTTGAATAGTACTGATAGTGTCTCATCATACGAACATATATTGCTCCTTCAAGAGAAACATAGTGATTTACAATCAAGAAAAATCGAAGAGTAGAATTTGGTATTCAGATTATATTGATTTGATTAAACTTGTTACTGCTTATCTCTTCTGGTTTCTTTGGATCTTTCTCAACACATTTTAAAAGCTCCAACTAATTAGAATACAATCTCAATTAACATAGAGAAATATAATCTAGATTTAGCCTAATTATGAAAAGACATGATTTCGCAATTAAGCATGCAAATTGATTGGAGCACGAGCCTCTTGTTGATGTTCTTGGATCCTTGAGTCATCTCATCGCTCACATTTTGGTTCAAAACAACTATCAAGATTTTTAATTTTTATTTTCAAGATTAATAAGTGTCTAGCAATTCATAATATGTGTATATTCTTTTCAAGTGATCTTATCAGCTTATCATTTTCTTAATGCCTATCTTTTTCAATATCCCTATAACATTTATCTATAAAGGCTTCTTTAATTTAATTCTGAAATATATTTAACCTTTTTGACAAAAAATAATTAAGTATAGACACAAAATAAATAGATGTTAAAAGTATATATATATATACAAAAATGACGTGGTGCTCGAGACACTACAATGATACAATCAAACACAAAGCAGCTCTGTCATGCTAAGGACAACGACGACTTTAGAAAGTAAAAAAAAGAAATGCTATGAAAGAAGAACAGTACTCATTTGTCATTTTTAGATGTTTCATTAGGTCGGTAATAATAGTATATAACGTAAAAGTAATTAACTTCTTAAACCAGTATTTAATGCGGTTGATAACATCTTCTTCAAAAAGAAAAGATGCACTTAACACTTCCATTTAAAGGAGATAAGTGACCGACCTAAATTTATTAGTTACTCTTCTAAATTCTAATAACCTTATCAATTAGCTTGTTCTAGTCTAGATTATTCTCTATATAAATTACACCTTTATTCAAATTTTATACGCACATATATATATCTAAGAAAAGTATCACTGCATCGAATCTTTTCTATCTATAACTATTATTCTACAGTTTTTACACGTCTTCATTTAATGTTATCACTTATCACATTCTCTTAGTTTGGTACCTTTACAAAATACGCCATTCGAGAAATCCAAACTCAATACAGCCACTACGTACCTTGTGGCTTCTCACTTCGAATTTGATTAGGTTTCTTATAGCACTTGGTAACATAAACATCAAATAACTCAACTCATACATAACAACATTTCTATTTAATATATATTTTGTTTAGTTTTAGTTTGTACATACTCTAGAACAAAGTATTTTATATGAACTTTTTCATAACATCATTTAAACCGACAAAGTTTTATACTACTTAAAAAGTCGTTACCAATTAAGCTATTAGACCATCATTATTGAAAGTCTTTTAAGCAAATCTTAGATATTTAAAAACTGACAATCTTAACTTAAGATTTGCTTAAAAACCTTCAATAATGATATTCTTAACATTTAATCTCGTATATACTATTTATATATAAAATAAATCGTGTTAAAAAGCATCTAAAAGTGTTATAACATGTTACTAGGTCAAAAGATGTTACATTGGCTTATGCTAAACTCATCATAAAGTTAATATTCACCACCAACGAAAATATAAAAACACAAAGAGTAATTTTAGGTTATTAAATGATAATAAGATCCCATAAAGAAGTTGAATACTTTGCATCATTACCAAAAATATTTGTCGTTTATCAACTGTAACAACACGTCTTCCTAAATCTAATATTTTTCAAACTGTAGTTTGTGATGACGTTTTTGTTTTGTTCTAAAACGTGGTTGTGGTTATCTCGAGACAAGAAAAAAAAATCATTAATAGATCTCTGAATCATGGACACAATTCGAGAAGATAAATTCTAGGTTGCTAGGTATAGTATAAGAGATATCAAAATCTGACGTTGCACCATATTTACCAGAAAAGATTTATAGCGATACCAGTAAAGTGGCTTTGGCAATGGCATTGCAAAAATTGGCAAAGTAATTGACAAAACGATTTTTCATTCTTTTTACTTTATTAGTGCATTGTCTATTTCACTAGGTTGCTATATTATACTATTATACGTGGGAGGTTCATATAATTTATACAAATTTTACGATATGATATCATTTTATTATATTCAAAGACACGTGAAAGAGTTTGGCCAATAAAGTCTGAAAGACCCTACGAGAATAAAATTCCAAATTATCAACTTATACAATGATTTCGAGTATGGAAAAAAAGAAACTTTGAATTTTCTATATGCCAAATATTTTTTTGGAGAGAATCAAAATTTTCATAGTCCACATCCAAATATAGTTTTTTTTTAAATTCGCATTAATATAGCTTTTTCTTTTATATAAATGTATTTAGAAATACATAAATAAAATTGAGGGAAAAAAGAAATACATAAATAAAATTAATTTTATTAAATCACTTAATTTAGTATTAATTTCCAAACGAAATATTTTTTTGGTTCGAATCACTTTGGTCGCGTTTTAAGTTTAAAAAGTATCTTAACACATATTCGGACGTAAAGTTTTGTGAAATTAATTTTAGTCGTAGAAAGTTTTTGGAATACTACAAGAAAAAAATAATTAAGAAAAATGAAAACTAAATAAAGTTAAATTTGATTTTGATTAAAATAAGCTGTTATGTAATGTGAGACAACTAATTCTGAAAAAAATGGACGGTGCATATCGTTAAGTAACTTTAGTGCCGACTTCTTGGAAAGTCTTTTTTTTTTTTTTTAAAGTAAAACAGTAATAATCATAAGATAATAAAATAAAACTTTAGATAATAAAATTGGATTTACAAAATATCAAAAAAGTAGTTCTTGGATTCCCAATTGAGGTCATATCACCAGATTTTCTGAACGATCACTCGGACCCGATCGATGGATGGAGTAGTTCAAACACGACTAACACATAGTACTTTAGTTCATGTTATTTTAGTCTTTGATATTGATTGATTTAATGATTTGTTTCATTTATTTCAAATGATTTATGAAATTAATTTCTGAAAAGTTTCAGTGTCGTTGACAAACAATGTTCAAACTGTTTGGTTGACTAACAAAATTAAAATTCAAAAGTGATGAAGATAAAATATTATGAATGAAAATGTTAGGATAATATTTTATTTAACATTTTATTTTGTTATTTTAATAAAATATGTGCGAGGTGGATCCAACAATCCGTAAACCGGAGAATTGTACAACAGACAATCGCCACAAAAAAAAAAAGTTTTTTTATTGAATTCATGATAGACCGATAAAACTAATACAAAAAAGGTTTTCTTAGGTCGCCGATTTTAAGAGTTTTAAGTAGTAAAAACGCGTTAAAATATTGAATGTTTTTCTTCTTCTTTTATATTCCAAGCTCCTCTTTTGTTATGCTATTTTTTCTTTCTTGAATGCGGAAATCTTTCATGAAATTAGGATTCGTTAGTTCAATTTGGATTAACCGAACGGTGTTAATCCACCTTCCTAAAATGCATACTATATCATAGTGTATGAATGTTAATATCCTGTATATATATCTTTTCCATTCAGCGAAAACTTGTCATGAAATTAAGATTTGTTAGTTCAATTCGGGTTAACCGAATGGTGTTAAACACCCTCCTAAAAAATACATAATATATTATAGTGTATGAATGTTAATGTCCAGAATATATATATTTTGTACTACAAAATTTACATTAAGTGGAAACGATATGTTTCTATGGTCACACAACATAACATGTGAATATTTTTAATTAAAATATCCCATTATTTTTTAGAATATCCATTTATTATATATATATATATATGATGTTCATAGAATATAGATAAGAAGAACCTCCTCTATTGTGCTTTATAAAATGTAATGTTGGAGTAGCATGGTCTAAAATGAAACTACTTAGTGGAGCTTTTTTGAGTGCTCTATGATCACATGGGTAAGGTTTTGATGCATGATTTACAATTATGTTAGGTTTGGTTGCATGATTTACAATTATGTTGTAAGATCCAAACATATATAGAGCCACTTCAATTTTTTTTGGCACAGCTTCGCTAAACTTAAGTTAAGAACATAGTTCCCGACCACTCTTTTATAAAGTAATTAAGATGAGGATGTTCTCTCAAAGCCTTTTCGCATAAAGCTGGTAGTGTTCATCATCAACTCCAAACTTGAGATAGCTGTTGCTAATAATAAAAGAAGAATTATAGAATTTGTAAGTGTACTAGAAAATGTAAAATAAAATAAAGATTTTGAAGGAATTATCACTTGGAATAAAAAGTGTTCATTTTATTGATATTTTCAACAAATATCCTTTTCACAGTAAATTAGGAGGAATAGTTTTATATAGTTTATAAGGTACTTCTATATAATAACTACTACTAGGAAATTCGATACAAATATTTTAAAATGTTTTAAATCGTTTTTATAAGTTTTTTAAGGTTTTTAAAAGGGTTTATAAGGTTTTTTATAAGGTTTTTATAATTTATTTTTACGCTATTTATGAAACGTATATAAAGTTTTATACACATATAAAAGTAATTTGTGTATATATTTATAAGGTTACACACATATTTGGATAAATTTCAACATTTTTAGTGGGTTTTTTTTATAAAGTTTGAAAAGAGTGTATTTTTAAAAAGAGGTATATGAAAAGGGGTATTTTTAAAATTCCCCCAATAATTATTTGTCTCCATCAAATTACCAAATGATTTCTTAAGTTCTCACTTTTTAGGAGCTTCATGTATAATTAAATCTTATGAACTGAATACACATTCATATCTAGTAAATTAACAAAATGACAAAATAAGCAAAGAATCCTAATGGAATATTTAGATTTTACGTTTGAAAAGAACAATAAGACTTTATCTTGCTAAACAAACTTGATAAGAAATAGATATGAAGATGCCACTCGTGATGCTAACCATCTTCTCCATTTCGCTTTACAAAAAAGATAGGCCTCTTTCTAATACTTTGTTCTTCAATTGTGAAGGAATCTACAATGGTCCATATACTCCATATACAATTATATCCATATAATACTACATACATATCGAGTCCATACAATTCTCTTTTCGGATAAAACAGAATTTTGAACATCAAAAACATACATCCTCTAATCTTTTGGTCTTTTGAAGATGCCTTAGCTTTGAACATATTTTAGTATCAAAGGAAGATAATATACTCAACAACGCCGATATACCAATATAAAAAGTTTTTAAAACTCTTAATACCAACATTTTTCGATTTTTTTTTTTTTTTAAAATAATCAAAGAGGTTTTGGGCCTAAACCCATACATCCCTTCAAACCCGAAACCAGAGTATATTATATGGTTTCGTCCCAAGCACTACTCGAACCGGCTATCTAAGCTTTCGATTTCATTAAGTTTTTTCTTTTTGTTTCGTTCCAATAACATGCAATATATGAGTTTAATCTAGGGTTGTAACAAAGTAACTAACACAATCCATTAAACTAAACGTTATACTGTGTATTGTTGAATCGTATAAACTAAAGAAATAATGCATTAGATTGGGAGTATGATGTGATACTTCTCATAGAAATATAATCGTTTTTCCTATAAAATTATAGTACAATTTGGGGTACGATGTGATATTTCTCGTAGAAATACAATGTGATAGTTCTCGTACCGTTTGACCCAATGGGCATAAGATAGAGGCCCATTAAATATAACCAAAGGCCCAAAACCAACTACGATGTGACAATTTGACCCAATGGGCATAAGATAGAGGCTCAGTAAATATAAGCAAAGGCCCAAAACCGACTAGTCAAGTTACCCGAAAACTGGCGGGTCTGGATCTTTTACCGTACGAATCGAAAAACAAGACAACGCTTGGATCAAACATGGTCTCTCTCTCTCTCTCTCTCGTATGAACATTCGTCCTTAATTACTCTACAACAAAAATTTAATCAAATCCGAATAAAGTTTTCATTTTTATAAAAGTTATTTAAAAAGTTCCCCTCGAATTGCTCGACAACATTTTTATTCTTGTACCAATCACAATTTGTATCTTCCCCAGATCCTCTTCTCCTCTGTTCTTTCCTTCCACATTGTTATCTTCACTGTTTGTCTCATTGTTCCCTATTCCCAAAAGCTGAGACCTAAACAAATCTGGGTTCTTTTTTTTTGCGTAAACGCGTCAGATCTTGATCTAAGAGACCTTACAGGTTCTGTTCTGCTCTGTGATTGATTCATTACATCTCCATTGATCATTCAAATGATGGGTCTTGTTAAAGTTTCTGTTTTTATATAATATGCTTATTGCTTTATCTGCAGGTGTTTGTTAAGTGTTATGGTTCACCTATACTGGAAGGGTTAAAGGATCTTATCATGCAGAGAGGGATATGAGATTGATTGCTAAGAGTTGATTAGTACTTTAGTTCAGGATTAGTATTTATTGTCCTGAAGAGAAACAAAGTCAAAAGATTTTACAAAGTGATGTGATTTTATTTGGTTTTACATATGTTACGCCGTCTTAGATGGTTAATTGGATTGAGTAAAAGAAGTAGGCAAGCAAAGACTCTTGATGCTAAACCTTACATAGCAAAGGTTAAGCCAGTACTGATGGTTGACACGGTTCAAGAGATTGCGATTTATATCCATAGGTTTCATAACCTTGATCTTTTCCAGCAAGGGTATGGAACTTGACCAAAGCTGAAGTTTCTACTTCAACATTGTTTTAGAAAAATGTTTCTGATCATTTTAATTTTTTCAGATGGTATCAAGTAAAAATCACCATGAGATGGGAGGATGGTGATAACGTAACTCGTGGTATTCCTTCACGAGTCGTTCAGTATGAAGGTAAACATAAAGCTTTCTTGTGGATAAGTTCATGTTCTTTGTTGTTATGCCTGTGTGATTATGTCTGAGATCATTATTTAGTATGGTTAGAGAATTTATTTTGAGTAGAAAAGGATATTGAGGATTGTCTTTTTTGTTACAGCTCCTGATTCTGGTTCTAATGACTCATATGGAGTGTGGAGGATAGTTGATAATGATAATAGTTTCTTAACACAGCCCTTTCGTATCAAATACGCAAGGCAGGATATTCGTCTGTGTATGATGATTTCATTTACTCTGCCACTGGAAAGATATGAGGTAGCAATAATTACGAACGGGCAGCACTGAATGATAACCGTCTGGGTGTGGATATTGTGTTTTTAAAGTTGTGAAATGATTGTGGGTATGCAGGGGTCAGCTACATCTGCTGCTATATTGAAGTTTGAGCTTATGTATGCTCCGTGTATGGATAATACACCAGGGAAGCATTTAGATGCGTCTCCTGTTGCAGTTCATGAGTTCCGTATTCCTCCAAAAGCTCTTACAGGCTTGCATTCATACTGTCCAGTGCATTTTGATACACTTCATGCGGTTCTTGTTGATGTTAGTGTCCACATTAGTGTATTGAAATCTGCTGCTTATAAAAGACCTGCAAATCTATCAAGGTTAGTCTAAAAAATGTTTCAGTTCGACATAATTTACTTTATTGTTTGCTTAAGTTCATGTCAATTTAGTTGATATGTCAAAGTGTTTGATGCAGTGGCGTAAGTACCAGTAAAAATGTCGGTGGCAGCACTGCTCAATCTTTCAAGAAAGTATGTGCTTGTGTTTCAGTGGTTTAATATTTTGCATGTGTATAGATTTAGAAAATGTCTTATTGATTAGTTTCCAACTTTTCTATCCACTAGGCACTTGGTCTGCTTGCTTCTGCTGACAAGAAATTGGTGTCATTTGTTAAAGCATTACTTGGAGCTCGTGAAATTTTACTCGAGGAAATGCAAAGACTTAGCAAGGCAGTTGGTCAACCAATAGACTTGTCTGACTTTGTTTCTAATATGAACAATGTTCCGTTATCTAACTCAACAGTTGATGGTTCAGGACAAGGCAAGGAACAAAACAGTCTTGAGGTTCTTACTTTATTTTGATGCTGATTAGTTTTTATGGATTTTTCTGTTTAATAGTCTTCTGCTTATTTCTTCATTCTTTTGGAACAGAAGTTGAATATCACATTTGATTTAGGCAGTGATGAGTGGCTTCATGAATTACCAAAGGATCATCTATCCCGTCTATTCCACTTACTAGGCACCCAGCTGCATTATCTTTGGACCACGTTTCTAGGATTTCACCGGTAATTCCTTTTGAACTTCAGTGATATTTTTAAGTTGTATGTCAATATCGTCTGTTAAGCAATCTGAGAAGATCAATATACTAGGCATTTATCTCATGTGGCCTTTTTAGGGATAATCACACAAAAATACTGGAATATCTTCGTGATATCTGGACTAAAGATCGAAGAGCTGAATGGTCAATATGGATGGTGTATTCTAAGGTTGAAATGCCTCATCATTTTATAAATAGTGGAATGACTGATATCTTAAACCAGAGTGCCCATAAAAGAGCCTCAACCGTGTTGAAGTTGAATGAAGTGAGTTTGGTTTTATGTCTCTATTTGCCAAATTTTGTTAAAACACAAGCCTGGCTCATCTGATTTTTGCTCTGATGCAGCCTGCACAAGTTGCAGCTACCCGCGCTGAACTTCACCGTCGAAGTATTGCACAGATGCGGGTTCGTTCTTATCTGTTTGGTTTAGTTCCCTCTTTAATCTATAAACCCTTCTTTTATTTTTTCAATACAATTGTGGCTGCAGATTAACAACCGTTCAATACAAGACATGCATATACTTGGAGATCCTATGCGGGTTCCAATTGTTATAATTGAACGTGTATTGAATGCACCAAGGCGCACTTTAAGTGATAATTCGTATTTGAGACATGTGGATCTGCTGGATTCTAACTTACTTAACGGGCACAATGACGAAGCGGATAAAACAAAAGCTACTAACTCCCAGCAAAATGCCCGTGAACTAAAAATTGTTGTCTTTGTTCATGGTTTTCAGGCAAGTATCTTCTTGAAATTCACTGAACTATAGTAGCAATTTCTTAGCTACATTCTTTCCTTTTCGATCTGTTTTAACTATCTTGACAGAAATTTTTAATATTTGCTACCATAGGGGCATCACTTGGACTTAAGGCTTGTTCGGAATCAGTGGCTTCTGATAGATCCGAAGATAGAGTTTCTTATGTCCGAGGCAAATGAGGATAAAACACATGGTGATTTCAGGGAAATGGGACAGAGGCTCGCGCAAGAAGTTGTTTCTTTCCTTAAGAGGAAAAAAGATAGATATTCAAGACAGGGGCATTTGAAAGGAATCAAATTGAGTTTTGTTGGTCATTCCATTGGTAATGTCATCATTAGAACAGCAATTGCCGGTAATATTCTTTAAAAATCTGGTAAATATCAAATGACTCTTAGTTATGTTTTGGTGTTTATGCCATATATTTTGTTTGTTTCAGATAGTTTAATGGAACCATACAGGAAGTTTCTACACACGTACCTATCACTTTCGGGACCGCACTTGGGTTATCTGTACAGTACAAACTCCTTGTTTAATTCCGGGCTTTGGCTCCTGAAAAAGTTAAAGAGTACACAAGTTATTCACCAGCTTACACTCACCGATGATCCTGATATCCGGCATACTTTCTTTTACAAACTATGCAAGGTTAGAGAAATAACTCACAATGGTTTTCGCAGATATATATCTTTGCTGTCGTGTTCTAAACTTTGGGTTGAATTCTTTCAGCAAAAGACGTTGGAAAACTTCAAAAATATAATTCTCCTCTCGTCGCCTCAGGTACGCTTCGCAGTTTAAAACTTGATTGTGTGAAGCAGTATGAGCCTTGTGATTATGGGGAAACTGATAGTTTTCTTCTCCCGTGGTTAGCTTTATAGTACAGAAACCGGAAAACCGCCTAAACTAAACTGTAAACGGGACTGCCCACATTTACGGTTTATATTGGGATGTTAAGTTTACAATAAGTAATATATCGTCAAAATTGATCAGATTAGGCCATTGGAATAGCTTTTGTTTCTAGAAATTGATCAGATTAGGTGACAAAAAATCTCAACAATACTGTAACTGTTATGTAATGCAGGATGGTTATGTTCCATATCACTCGGCAAGAATCGAATCATGCCAGCCAGCTTCTTTCGACAGCTCGAAAAGGGGAATAGCCTTCTTGGAAATGCTGAACAATTGTTTGGACCAAATACGTGGACCGGTCCCTGAGGCACCACATCTGCAACGGGTGTTCATGCGCTGCGACGTCAACTTTGATACAACCGTGTATGGCCGTAACCTGAACTCATTCATTGGACGTGCTGCTCACATAGAGTTTTTGGAGTCTGATATCTTTGCAAGATTCATAATGTGGTCATTTCAGAATCTGTTCCACTGAAGAAATTTTGGGATTTAAAGGGAGATATGAAACTGTTGTATATTAGCTATATAGATAGTTTTGTCTAAAATTGTTTCTGAAAGAAAAGTTAGTTGTTCTTAGAAACGAAGATATTAGAGAGTAGTGGCATATCTTATTAATTCATTTATCCAGGATTATAGTCACATTAAAGCATTTGGTTTCTTGTGTTATGCATCCATTTCATAGAAAAACACAATCATAGCTTTTCAAACTTGATATATCATCCTCATTAGTGGATGAACATTGAGTATAAGATGGTGCATTTAGAGATGAAGATAACTTTCTTCTTTTCAAACTAATTTGGTAATTTTGTTTTCTAATTGCATTCAAATCGCTTTGTCATTCGAAAATATGATGTAATCACATTGCACTCGAATCACATCTCCATTCATAATTCTAACTAATCGCATCGCTCCCTAATTACATCGCTCCCACGCTCAAATCGTAATCGCACCCAAATCGAATTTGCCATTCGAGGCTTTAATAGGTTGATTGATTTTTATGGATCACTTACCTTTATACACCTAACCACCTATTGCTATTTCTCCTCCCACACCAACATTGTTTCTGTATACTCTCTTATCAACATTGTATCAATAACTACACAAAGGTGAACCACATAAAACAATTAATCATCTTATATCATTTTCCTTACTAGTTCACTAGATTTGGGTCCATTGTAGCTATTGTTTTACCGTTCGTCTTTTGTCTTTACCAAAATCCCACAAAAAGTTATGTCTATTTTAAGATAGGGATCGAGCTGCCTACGAAACTCTTGGGCCATCTTTTGTATAGGTTCTTAGGTCTATCATCATCATTTTAAGGTTCTGTGCATCAATTATTTAGGTTTTGTTTGCTTTGATTCAACGATTCTTTTTTTCTCGGCCCATCCCAATAATAAAGGATATGCATGCAATTATTTGAAGGAACAAACCTTTGCGGCACATGCATGTGATATGGCTACTATAGCTTTCAAGTTTCAACCACATGTGTTTCTTTGTCTACATAAAAAGATAACGTCAAAAGATTTAAATAGTTTTGCTAGCTAGCTCTAAATTGTTTGGTTCTACGCCAATTGTCATGAGCAAGAGTTTGTAATGAATTATATTCGTTTTGGGACCAAATATCTAAGTTTCTTAGAGCTTTTTGACTAGTCGTCCTATGAGATGATCTTTGTATAATTGTTGTTACACGTTTTGATAATAACTAGAAAGACTCAAGAGAGATATTGTCAATCTCAAAAGGATCTTAGAAACCATGATGAGAGTTCTGCAAAACGTATTGATCTACGCAATAGACCCGTACGTGTTCTCTTTCAGAAGTCTCAAGTGCCATAGGACCACCAAATTTTAGGTATATGCACGCACGTACAGCTTTGACCAGTCAATGTGTGTTAGTGTATTGCGATGGCCTTTTCTCATAGAGTGATCAAGATTGTTCAAGACTAACAAAGACAATTATATAAACATATTAATACTAATTCCCAAATTCATTCATTCATTATTCTGTTACGTGACAATAGATAACGTTAGGACTTTACGCTAGCTAGCTTATTTAGTGTGTTACCATCATTCTCTTAACCTTTGAGATTTGTGATAGTGGCTTATAACTTAATTATAAGTAAGAGTGTTTGAGAAGCATGCTACTTAATTTCTTATTCTAGAACGTCTAGGTTGCTCAAATTTTAAAGATGTGAGATAGGTTCCACGATTCTGGTGGTCTTCGACGACTTTTACATGAGGAGAAGATCGTGAAAAAATTTATGTTGGAGGACAGTGGATTAGTCAACATTTGTCAGACATTCATGAAAGTGAAAGCCTATAAGTTTTCCAATCTTTATAATTGCATATCTAGTTGATGAATAGCTTTCTGTAGTACTGATTTGCATTGTATAGATCTTGGAAAATATCACCAATTATCAAGTGTCATTAGCTGGATTATTAGAAAAACACCAAGGACAAAGTATAGACAGAAGTCACATGTTCTAGTGATACTTGAATATGCTTTGGTCTCCGGGTTAAATGGATTAACAGGTGTATTAGCTAGAAACTCTTTAAGTTTGGTTACAGAATCGGGCATGACCACAAGCCAGGGAAGCTTGTGCATGATGCTTTCAAATCCTTTGTACAATTTATCAACTGTTAATTTGCGTAAAGCTCTGATACTATAGTGGTAATTAGAATAGGACTAGAAATATAATATCTCACATTATTACATCGGAAGCTGGACAAAGATTTTGACAGTATATAAAATATATGGATTCTATATATATATGTATATTTATTATCAATTGGTTTTAAATTGAAATCCATATTCTAATAAACTGTACCTATTTGATAAAAAAAATAATAATAAAGAAACCGCCTATGACATCACAATTTAGATAAAATCATGCCAAAAACGACCATATGGTTTGGTATCATGGGACGTGCATATCTTCTAATTATTACTTGAGAGTGTTTGCTCAAATTGATTTAGAGTTCGCATGATGTTATACAAGTGTGAGTGGTTTTGTCTTAAACGTTTACACACAATAGATATAGTGTTGACCAAAATAGTTTAAAAGAGCTTAACATAACTCTGAGTTGAAAAATTTTAGAAGATTGACCAAACATGGGATCTTTTTGAATATATCATTTTCAGATAAATACAAGACAATATGATCATAGTTTTTGACCCACTAATTAGCAAATAATAACATAAATTGAGTCTTTGACCAAACCATATCAAAAACAAAACAAAATATATTCAAAGACGTTATCAAAAGCAAATCTCCCAATTGGCAAAAATGTATATAGCTAGTTAAGGTATTTGGTCCATAATATGAAACCAAGATGAATGTTTCTTACGTGTTTCTTTCTTCCTCTGTGTAGAAACTTGTGTGGTTGAATTTAGAATGGCATAATGCATTTAATCGTTTTAACGTATGTTCCAAATTTAGTCTAATTAAGCATACCACGCCACTAATATAAACAAAGTGAAGTTAATATATAACATAGTTCTTTTCTTTTAATATTGCTTTCTTTTACTAGTGGTTTGTGTCTTGGTTTGTTATCTTTATCGTTTGCTAAAAAGCGAAACATAAATCAACTTAATCTAGCCGACCAGTAGAAAGGAAAAACAAAACTATGACTTGACATTTTTGTGTGTGTCAAATTTGCATTGATATACAATTAATAATGCTGACATGATCGACCATGTTAATTTGCTTCAAAAATTGAACAATTGGGATTCATTGATCATTTAACACTTTAACAACTGTACAAATTGTTATATCCATTAGAGCTAGTGACATTTAGCATATCCAAATATAGTTCTTTTGTCAACAAAGACGATAGCTACTTGCATAACCCTTATATTTTTAATACTAGTAATAATTTTAATATTTCATTAAAAGTATTAATTTGACATGTTTTACATAAATTATAAAAAGTCTAAATTATATATATGCTTTTATTTAATAAGTAATCAATTATTTAAATTTTAATAAAAATACGATTTGAGTAGAGTCAATTTGAAAATGGGTTTCCTACAATAAACCCTCTAAGTCGCTATTTTAATAATTTCACTCAAAATCCAGAAATTACAAGTTAATCTAATGAAGTCGAAAGAAAAATGTAATATAACCCAATTTTACCATCGTCATGTTTTTTTATACAATAGAACATAAAATTTAGAACGGTTTTTTTTGTGTGTGAAATGGATGGAATAGTTCAAAAATAAGAGTTCCAAAAGGAGGTTGAAATAACAAGTAAGTCCATTTGTCATATAAGTTTTTACATTGTTCATATTATAATCTATGTAGTGAAATTTTCTAAGTAAGTTTGATTAATTTTTGTGTAACAAATGAAAACTTGCCATTATTATCTCATGATACACACATTCTAACGCGGTGTGGCAAAGGAGTGGCCTTCTTTTCTTATCTAGATAAGTGATAAAACTAGATTATTATAATTTACTTTTTTGTGCTCTTTATAATTGACTTTGATTGTTATTTCCAAAAGAATAGTATAAAGTAATAACGAACAATTCAAAGCTAGTAACACAAAAGTGTAAACCATTGGTAAGGATTCATCCGGGCGGCAGAGCCAATGAGTTATTTTTTTAAATATATAATCATATCCTAATTTTTTGGGGCATGCTTAAGGTCGGTTGAGAGAGAAAGCTCATGCATTACGCGATCATGTATCGTAAATAGAATATGTGAATGTTCAAGAAAAGAGATCAAACTAGTTCTTTTTGTTTGTTTTATCATACATGTCAATAATTTAGAAACTATACAAAAGATACTAATCATACATGTCAATAAAGTTCTATGGATATTATATGTTTAGGGTGATCTTTCTTCCCATTTGGCAAAATAGTTTTCTGATTATTAAAGATATATGCACTGAATAACAATATGACTGGAAACATATATGAAAAAAAACCATAATGTTTTATATTTAAGATAATCTTTAGTGGATGCAGGTTAAAATTTTCATTACATACTATTTATATCATACATATATTTATTATAAATCCATGCAAATCTTGATACAAGTACCTATTACAAGTAAATACTATAGACCTACGTAGGTCATAGCTTGGAGCTTAGGTCCAAAAACATTTCCGATCGAAGACTAGAATAAGGTAATTTTTCCTTTTAGGTGGTCAGACTATACATTGGTTGATGTACCAACTATCAAAGCTAGCTTCGGAATATTACATTTGATCCTAGTCGAAATTACGATGACATTATATTATTATTTTTTGTCTAAATGTGAAAAAATGTGAAACTAAAAACATGGTTAATAGTAGTGTCAGTGTTTAGAGCTAAAAAAAAAATATTTATCAAAACATAGAGAAGAAACGTCGAGAAGCACGACCATGAAACCACCGAGTCATAAGGTTGCGAAGCCGAAATAAAGTGTGGTAAGAGAGATATAGAAAGATGTTCTGAACCAGTCTACCAATGTTGTTTTTTTTTTCTTTTTCTGTTTTTTCTAAATTGTATATATTTCATTGATTTTTTTTTTATGTTTTACATATAATGTATAATCTACACTTTGATCCTCTGGTAAAAAAAAAATATTCGCAGCTTATAACATCATATATTTGATCTTATGGTCCATTTATAAAAAACCGTAAAGCTTATATCATCGGATAAAATGATAAACGATCCAATAAATCTTTTAAAAAATTGTTAAAAATAGTTAACCAACTTGACAAAACCGGATTAAAAATGATGAATTGATTTAAATTGACAATAATATTTATGAAAATTGCTTCGTCCTATTATTTCTCTAACTATTTATGTTGTCTATTGCATAAACAAGAAGATAATAAAATTGAATGTGTTTGAAAAAGTTTAAGTAAATTATTTTACAAGAAAATTGGAAGACGCTCTATGTCTCCGAGTGGGGGACCCTGCCTACCTGCGCCTAAGATAGGCTTTTATCTCTTCCTCCTCCAAACTCGAGCTTTACCACACGCGACAATTTTTTTAGACTTGGAATCTTTTTTTAGTTCGATTTTTGTTTGAACACAAACTTGCCTACGACTCTCTCTACATCTCTACATATTATGTATGTACTTTGTGATGCTTTATGTGGCTACCGTTGAGCGTTTGATGCAGCCAAAGACGGTAAGAACAACATGTGATTGATGCACTTATTCAACTTTTAGTGTATACTTGACATACTTGTTTTTACTCTACATGGTCATACATCACCTTTCGTGTCTAATGTTCTATGAGGTACAAAATACGTGTTAAAATGGATAATCGGATCTAATTCAATCCAAAAATTTTAATAGACGTATCCATTTATAATACCGATGGTAATTACCATTGAGTAATTCATAACCCTAATAAGTTGGTTTAATAACATATTTGTTACTTCTTAGTGATTTACGAGTGAGTAATTAATACATAACCCTAATAGGCTGTTCCATTAAACTCATAAACTTATTAGACTAAAACCCACAAAAATCCATTTATTTATAGGACGGGTTAAGAACTCAACCCAAAATGATTAAAATATTTGATAGATAATGTAAATTTATGGGTATCTACCAATTTTTACACTCTCACATAACGTAGTTTTATGGGTTACAATTCAAAATGACAAACACACAGAAAACTATCTAGATAAATCAGAAATGACAAGGGCTTAGCTTAGATTGTAAATTCAAATCTAATAGAAGATTACAAGTAAAAAGAAGTAGGCTAATCTAATATACTAACATGAAATTATATTACATATACATTTAAAAGTGTATTTGTTTGATGTTCTCGATCGTAATCATATTCTTCACATGAACAGCATCATTTTAGAGATTGTATAATTGGACGACCTCATAGTGTTTACCAATATTAGACAAAAACCAAAAAACACAAGTTACTCACGTGTAAATATTAACAAAAGGTGAATGTCGAAACTATAAAAATACAATTGTCTTTTCTTTCGTCATAATTCAAAAACCAATGAAAATTCCAGCTTTTTATACATGACCAATGAAACTCAACTATTTTTTTCAGCAAGCCAATAGAATTCAATTTAAGTTTTACTTCATATGAAAAAGAAATATCAGTGGTAATTTATAGTGTCGACACGTAGACGCATTATCAATTCCACTAAGTTTTTTTCTTTTTTTTTTCTTGTCATATTTATGTTTTATTCTTTGGCACCACATCGCTTTGAAGTTCGTATAAATTCATGTTTTGGTCCCCTCAAAAGATATAAAAGAAAAAGAACTGATATTTATATGTCAAGATGCTTCTCTCTGCTCATAGGAAACAACCAAAATCAAATAAATGTGATCTAATTAAATTATAAAACGTATATCGAATCTCATAATGGCTTTGAGACAAAGAATATGATAGAAGAATTAAAAGAAGAAAATTTCCATTTTCGGCTGCGAATATATTTTCCTTTTATGGAACAACCAAGAAAAGCTCATAAATAAAAGATTCATCTTGCCTGTCCTTACGAAAAGAATTGATTGTTAAATCAGCAAAGTTCTTCGTTCACAGAACATATAATACAAAAGAATTGGTGGAAAAAAAAAACTATTCTATTATGGAAAATATTCTAAATTTTTATTTTGTTTCCATGGTTATTATATTTGTCTTTGGCCCGTACATTAACTATGACCTTGACCTAAATTGCATGGAAATTTTTGACGAGATTTATTTCTAGTTTTCAAAATGTTTTGTTTTCACGTATCCGTTTCTGTTTCCATGCGACTTAGGTTTTGATATCAAAATTAGTTTAGTACTCTTAGTTTTTATTTACTCAAAATATAAGTTGAAGTTGTAATGGAGTTAAGCTGTTATCTTTTATTTAACAAAACAAAATATCATTTTCTCCTACAAAATGGATAAAGATAAATAAAACCACACCAAACTGAGTTATTACAAAAGGGAACATATAAAGTACAAACTGCTAAAGTCAAAAACTAAGAACTATCACACCCATACAAACATAGATAACACAAAAACACCACTAATGCCCACAAAATAAATTTATCGTTCTTGAATAAAAAAAAAAGTAGAAATTAAGGAGCAATGTAAACTCCAAAAAATTAATGTTTTGACAAGAACATATGTACGTACGCCTAATGGCCAATGACTCCAAAGAATAGCTATCAATCTAAACCAACATCGTTCTCATCATATCTTCTGTACCAGAGTTAGACTGGCTCTTTGACCTTGCAATAGGGAGGAGAGGAGGAGTCTTTTCGGAACTTTCTGACGTTAGCTCTTCAGCTCTCTCAGCTTGGACTGCCCAATCTGTTCTCAAGAGTGCACACAACATGAGAGAAGCACAAGTCGCTTGAGCTGCAAGTAACCCGAGCCAAAGACCTGGAAACCCTTGTTTGAAAACAAACCCAAACAGAATAGCCACCGGCATACCCACAAAGTAAAACGAACCCAAGTTTATGTTAGCACCAAGTGTTGGTCTTGCACAGCCTCTTAAAACCCCACAACCGGTAGTTTGAGGACAGTTTCCAAGCTCACATAAGCCCACAATGGGCAATGCGATTGAAGTCAGCTCAAGAATCTCTGCATCCGTGGTAAACAAGCGTCCCCACCGGTGTCGAACCAGAACAGCAAAAACCATTGCCATTAGGCCTAAGGCAGCCGCACAGAAGAGTGAAATAATCATGGATACACGAGCCTTTGCAGGACGTCTGGCCCCAAGCTCATTACCAATTCTTGTAGAGACACCAAGGCTGAGAGATGATGGGAAGACGTAGACCAAAGCTGTTGTTTGGATCAAGATTCCCATGGAAGCCACGGTGGCTCTTGGGTTAGCCAAAAGTCCACACAAAATGATCATGAACTCGTACCACCACCACTCTAAACAAACAGATACACAAGTGGGTATGGCAAGTGAGAGCAAAGACGACCAACCTTTAAGAGAGTCAATAGTAACCGGGACCCATGTGTCACTATGCACGCTCGTGAAGTACACAAAAGAAGATAAGAGGACTACAAGGTTGAGATTTGTCAAAACCATAGCTATAGCAACTCCCGCAACTCCCATCTCAAGTTTCACCACTAAAAGGAAGTTCAAAGGAACGTGGAGGAGAACGGACACGGCCGTGGAGTAAGTCACGGGCAATGTAATGTTTTGTGTTCGGAGGTAAATGCGAAGAGGGTGAAGGATAGAGAGGAGGAAAAGGTCAGGGATAGCGAATAAAAGAAACTTTTGAGCTACGGAGGAGATCTCTTCATCTTGGCCGCACCATAAGAGGATCTTGCGCATGTTGAGCCACGAGAAGGAGATCGGGACAGAACAAGAAAGGAGAAGGAGGACAGTTCTCTGAAGGGTTAGTCCTAAAAGCTTCATTTGTTTAGCTCCATAGGCTTGGCCGCAGATTGGTTCCATCCCCATGGACAAACCAGAGATGACAGAGTAGCCGGTGATATTAGCAAAGCCTATGGAGAGAGATCCTCCGGCTAACTCAAGCTCACCGAGGTAGCCTAGGAACAGCATCGATATCATCGCTCTTGAGTACATAAGAAGTCCGGTCAGTGCCGTCGGCCCGGAGATTTTTCCGATTGCCTTCACTTCTTCTAAGCCCTGCCGCCAGATTAAGAAAACCAAAGTCAAGAACAAGAACCGTCCACGTCCATAGATATTTCAACCAACTTTTTTCTTTTATCTTTTTCTAGTTGATGGTTTAATTATTATATTAATCAAACAGAAGTTATGTTAATTAAAAAAATTACAAAAAAAAAAAGAAGAAACAAAACAAAAGTACCAACCCGGGAATAAAGATTTAGGCATCAAAACAAGAAAAAACATGTGAAACTTTTGTTTCTATTAATATATAATCTTGGTATAGTTCGTACAATCTAGTTTTGTCAAGAACTCGATTCTTGTATTGTTTTGTTCATATATATATATACATATATGTATATACACCGTAAATAAAATATATTATAATAAAATAAAATGATTTACCTCAAGAAAAGTTGGCCATCTTTTAAGGTCTAAAGAATCATTATTAGTGAATTCAGAATAATGAGGGTTATCTGTATCACAGGACTCGAGTTTTGAGAAATGGGTTTTGTCTTTAGAAGATAATAAGGAAGAAGAAGAAGAAGATGGTTTAGAATTACACATGATTCTTGAGAATAGTGAAATAGAGATAAAGTGACAAAGAGACAAAGCCGAGAAAGCTTTTTTAAGTCTTTTGGAGGCAAAAACTAAGTTTATGCAAATGATAAAAGACACACAAAGAGTTTAATTTGTGGAATTGGTTGGGCCTTTTGGAGGTGAAGGCTTACTTGTATTTATACTTGCATAAATTTTGTGTGGCCTCTACACGTGGCTATAACTTAATTTTTTATATAAAGAATTTTTTTTTTTTTTTATATTGAAGTGGGATATATATAATTTTTTTTTGTGCTTTGACTAAACAAATCGTGTGCCCACCACCGAAGTCCGAACCGAACAAACGACACATAGATTTAGAGGATAGCTCGAGAAGTTTTAACTTTGATGGAAGACACACACACACAAAAAAAGGTTTGTTTTAATATTTTAAATTACATGGCAATATGGCATTGCCATTAATAACACCAAAGCCTCTTTGCCTAATTTTGACACAACTTTGGGGGTTCACTATGTTGAAACTCTTTCGGTTATGTCGGCTGGCCAATTCATTATTGTAATAACTATTACAATATCAGGCTGTTGTTACCCTGAGAGTATCCGTCTAACAATTCTACAGTTAGTTCTCTTCTTACCCTGAGAGCGTCTAACATTTCTCAGGATAAATTTCTTTTCTTTAAAGTAGTAATACATGACAAAATTTTAGAAAATTAAATAGCAAATTTTGTAAAATGTATGACACATCTTAGGAACATAATTATTTTATATATATTTTTTTACAACATTTCTTTACATAAGTCAAATAATAAATTTCAAATATTTAAACTCTTAAGTTCCACGATGAAACTTCGACAATGTGTAACCCTGCCAAATCTGAATTTTGATTTTTAAATCTATCATAGTTAGTTTTATTCTATTCTTAAACCGGATTAAAATTAGAGAATTTTTGAGAAATACCCCTTTATTTGTACCCCTTTTTAAAAATACCCCCTTTATCTATCCATTTTCAAAAATACCCCTATTTAAATATAAAAAATTGTAAAGTTATATATAGTTTATAAGGTACTTCTATATAATAACTACTACTGGGAGATTCGATATAAATATTTAAAAATGTTTTAAATAGTTTTTAATCGTTTTTATAAGTTTTATAAGGTTTTTAAATGGTTTTTAAAAGGGTTTATACAGTTTTTATAAGGTTTTTATATGGTTTTTATAATTTATTTTTACGCTATTTATGAAAGGTATATAAATTTTTATACACATATAAATGTAATTTGTGTATATATTTATAAGCTTACACACATATTTGGATAAATTTCAATATTTTTAGTGGGTTTTTTGATAAAGTTTGAAAATGGGGTATTTTTAAAAAGAGGTATATGAAAAGGGGTATTTTTGAAATTCCCCTTAAAATTAACCTACATCAAAATTTCAAAAATTTCGATTAAATTTTTTAAAATTTGATCCGTAAACAATTTCGATCTGATTTCATACCTAAATACTTATAGCAAACCTTCTAATGAAAATGGAACGTTTCAAAATCAAAAATCTAAATAAATGGAGAAAATAAGAACAAATTTCCCCAATTTCAAACCTTTTATCTAGGCATGACCACGGTTATGGTTAATACGGTTATGGTTAAATAACCACCGGTTAACGGTTATAATTTTTTTTAACCGTGACCTTAACCATTTGATATGTGGTTAAGACGGTTACGGTTATATGCGGTTACGGTTAATTACGGTTACAGTTAAATACGGTTACGGTTATTTGATTATTATTATAATGTTAACATTGGAGGCAAAATTATTTTAACCTTTATAATAATAATAAAATAATATATGATTAAAAATAGTTTAGTATGAAATGTTTTTATTAGGGAATTTTGTCTTCTATGCCAGTTTTCAAACTCAATCTTCTCTAAGTGCCATTTTTGAAAACTCCTTTCAAATCCTGCCACAAAAAATTTAGTATGTACGATTTTACCCTCAGGCAAATGTTTTGAAAAAAACATAATCAAAATAAAAAAGAAATCTTGTCCATAAGATCTGGTCCATTAGATCTGGTCCACTAGATCTGATCTGACATAACTATTTCGAGTCTAGTCCACCAAAATTGGTTCGTCGAATGTTGTCCATCTATAAAGAAATGAATCTTGTCCACCATAAAATATCACTTGTTTTATCATCTGGTCCGTCGAATCAGATTCACTTGAACTGTCAGCCGAAACAAGTCTATCATAACTAGTTTTTGTCTGCCGGGAATGGTTTGCCATAACTTGTCCATCGTAATTGGTCTATCTGGTCCGCCGGAACTCGTCCGCCGGAGTTCTAGTCGAAACTCGTCCGCCAAAGTTCTGGTCGAAACTCGTCCGCCGAAGTTCTGATCTATTAGAACTGGTCCGCCGGAATTAGTCTGATGGATCTGGTCTGCCAGAATTAGTTCGCTGGATCTGGTCCGTCAGAATTAGTCCACTGGATCTGGTCCGCCGAATTTCATCTGCTGGATCTGGTCCGCCGGAATTCGTCTGCTAGATCTGGTACGCCGGAATAGCTTGTTGTTGGAAGAAAAAAAAATAAGATGAAGAAGAGAGAGATAATGAAAGAAAAGAAAAAGGATAACATGGTCTTTTTATATTGGATCTATTGCATGTTTTGAAAGGAGTTATGAAAATGGCATTTTAAAGAAGATTTGGTACTGTACATGGCATTCCCCACAATTTTCTCTTTTTATTACTTACAAGTTCAACTTGTTGTATCTCTTTTAATAAGGTGAAAATCTTATCCAAACATTCAATGTGTCTTTTCATTGTATATAATTATAATTACAATTTATTTTAAAATTTTAAATATTCGGTTAATCGTGCGGTTAACCTTACGGTTTATAACGGTTAACCGGTGGTTTATTACGGTTACGGTTAATTAACGGTTACGGTTAGTATTTTTTTTTATAACCGTAACTAATTTATTTATACGGTTAACGGTTACAATTTTTAACCATTATAAACGGTTACGGTACGGTTACGGTTTATAAACGGTCCGGTTACAGTTAGAAATACGGTTAAGGTTAGCTTTTGGTCATGTCTACTTTTATCTCTTCAAATTGATGTTTGGCTATGTTGTAAGTTTCAAATTTCTGCTCACTATTTCGTCTGAGGGAAAAATTCAACTGCCATAGTAGATCTTCGTAAGATTTAATTATATCTTTGCAATATTCTTGTGTACGTTCAAATTTATCCTATTTTTTTTTTCAGCTATTGTAAGGCTTTCTTCCTAGAATTTTGACATTGACCATTCCTTTGTCGCAACAAGCTCCATTGATCCTAAATTACTTCATAAATCTTCATGGACACCTATAATCTGGATCTTGTCTCATCCTTACAAAAAGAAAACGTACAAACAATCACCAAATTTGTCAACATCTAACATTCTCCATTTTGAGTGCATGGAATGAAAATTAAATTTTGACCTTCAATATATGTTTTTTTCAAAACATATATTTTCTTTTTCAAAAATAATCTATGTTTTTTTTTTAATAATATTTTGAGCAATATATCCACTAGTCACCATGCTCTTTAGCACACATATATCCAAGGTTCGTTTGATCTCTTTATACTGTTAAATGTTGCGATCTTCTTTTGAGAGCATGATCTAAAATAGCCTCTTCAAACGCAACACCACTACAAAACACTTGCCCGCATCTTCTTATGATCTTTCGTTCTCCTCTGTTTCCAACGAGGCAACTACAACATCTTTAAAGCCACTGTCGTTGTTTAAATAAGTCATACCAGAACTCTAAATATATAATGTTATAGAATATTCAAATTCTTTAGTACTAATCATGTAAACTAAATCTTTTTGATTAATAATATCATGACAATGATATTTAGTTACAATTTTATTTAATAATTTTTCTTAATATATTACTTGATCTGAAAAGCTAATTATTTTAAGAACTAATCATTTGTCAAAGTGTTACTTTTTTGAGTGATAATTTATAGAATTTGTATTGTGCTTATCTAACAATTCAATGTATATATTTACGTTTTATTCACTTAAATAAAGTGACTCTTTAATTTGTTCGGTGATGTTTTTTTTTTCTTTTTTTTTGCTAAAGTTGTTTGGTGATGTTTGTGCTTTGTAGAATCCCTAGTTCAAGTTCTATCTGGAAAGAATTTTAAAACGTTTCAAGTAGTCTTGATAAGAAGATACTTGACTCTTAATCCAAATTTCCTAATTGAGACTTAATTTATAAAAAGAAGAAAAAACAACGTATTCAGATGTACAATGACTATAGTTTGGCTCCAACCAAGCCGGAACACTATAGTATAGAGAGATAGAGAGATGGGCTAATTAAATTCTTTCTTGATTTACTTTAATAATTGTTCCTTAAATACCGCCTAATCATTTAGAAATAGCTAGGTCGGTCATATTTAATAACGATGTAAATTTAAGGTTAGGTCATATAGGTGCAATGATGAAAAACATACACTAGACTAGTCCATATACTTTAATTTCTGTCAAGATAATCCTTTATTTATTTGCTTACTTACGGTTTGACTTATACGTTTACTTAGTCAAACAAGATAAGATTTTAAAAAGCATGTGAATTAAAAATAGTTTTTTTCCACAAGTTGTGTGTGTATGTGCATAACTGAAAATTGCATGTCTATTGCAACTTAGCATAATTCTAAAACTTAAGATTTCTTTTTCCTTTTTAATTGAGACTCGGTTGGTTTCATAAGGTTGTAAATCGAGAAAATTACAATTACAATGCATGTTTTGGATATTAACATATGAGATCTTTCTTTCCACGCACAACCAACTTACACGACATTCTTTTTCATATTCAGATTGAGTTGGCAATTCAGATGATTGTATATCCACAAAAGCATATGTCATCTATGCAGCATTTATTTGAATGAATGTGAACAATGTGTCAATTTCTTTGTAAATATTTATGAATAAGTGGTTTATGGATATGTGTTGCCTGTGGATGGAAATGACTGTTTAAAAGAAAATGGTTTTGATGGTATATTTAAAGGATTTTGAAGATGGGTTTGAAAAGCACAACTAGGAAATTTGGCTGCTAAGTACCTAACTCGACTCCACATAATGCACAAACT